GCAGGTTCTGACCAGTTCTGGAGAACCGGTAGCAGAAATTTTGAGTAGTTCAGAGAACCGGGAAATACCACCTCTGACTGGCTCCGCCCCCATCTATTCCCTGCCTCCCAAGTCCCAGCTGATTGGCTGGGTCTTCTTTGGTTTCCCTGCACAGGAGAACGGAGCTGGAAAGCAGGTTAGTGGGGTGGGGAGGGAATGGGGATTTTGCAGTATCCTTCCCCTGCCACGCCTACCAAGCCACGCCCACAGAACCGGCAGTAAACAAAAATTGAATCCCACCACAGGCAGAAATCACAGTATAAATGTCCTTTTGCTTGCATTTGTTGATCCTGGTATCCACATCGATGGTACCAGTTGGCTGCTGAAAGCCTCTCTGCTATTGGAATTTCAGGCAGCGACTATGAACCAACCCCTGGTGTTCTCAAGAGCCTCAGAAATTAATCCCACATCATCAGACCGTGAACTAAAAGTCCCGCGGCTGGGATCGAATGTTGAGTTAGCATCTCTGACAGGGTTTGTACCAGGAAGCCTCAACGTTTTCCATCTTCAGGCGGCAGAACAAAAAAATATCTCAAAGCCACCAAGTGGGCTCATTGATGGCGATTGTCAGGGGTGGGGCAAACTTGGTGCCTGGTGGTCTGGGAAAGGCTTGGTCGAGGTGGGAGGGAGGGGGGGCTTAGAGAAAGCTTTGCAAATGACGGCGAGGTAGGAACTGCTCTCCTTGTGTCAATCTGAGGGATCTGGAGTGGGAAATGACAGCACAGAATGGTGATTTGTGCCAAGAGCTGGGAAACCCATGTTTGCTGGATGACTGTCAGCCAGACACTCATAGGCCAGACATGTTGCAGGGGGGAATTAGATGCAGAAATGCTCTCTATAGGCTGCCCTGAACTGCTGTAGGTCATGAATAAAATACACGATCATGAAAAAAGAAAACCAACTGCATTTGCATTCCAAGGAGTGTTTTTCAACCTTGGCAGTTTAATGAGATGTAGACTTCAACTCCCAGAATTCCTTAGCCGGCAGGCTTAGCCACCAACCAACCCCACAACTGCCATTCCTGGATACCCCATTGCAGGCGGAAATTGAAGTCCCCCTTGGTCTCATGAGCAAAATTACAAAGCCAGGAAGGAGAAGACACATCATGCCACATAACCCTCTTCGGCCAAAAGGCTTGGAACCATTTTTTTTTTTAAAAAAAGCGAAAGTGATTGAGATTTTTGTGGGAATACCCTAGTCTTTCGGGAACCTTTGCAACTTGGAAGAGGTATGGACGTCAAGTGGCTTGCTGGCTGGGGAATTCTGGAAGTAGAAGTCCACCTTTCTCCAAGTTGCCAAAGTTGAGAAACACTGCAATAAAAAGTTCCTTCAGTATGGTGAAAAAGAAAGCTGGTGTAAATAATAGTAGGGATGTTCTGGGATTTTTCCATCAGATCACAGGAACTGTGATGGTGATACGTCACTCATGCTGCAGCTTTCTGTTGCTTGATGATGCAGTCATTTGATCCAGGCAAAACACACCATTGTTTTCCCATAAGAACTCCGTTTGGTTTTCTATAGGAAATTGCTGTCATTTGATCTCTCTGTGTGCGCGCACGCACCTCTTCAATTTTGGAGAGGTAATCGTGCTGTGGAAGCAAAGAAATGCCCAGAAGTCCCTTGTGAGTGAGTCAACACAGCTTTCAGGCAATTCCACTCTTCTTCCAGAGATCTTTTGCACAGATGAAAAGATCAATTGGGAAAAACTCAAAGGCAAACACGGCAGGCGGCACTACATCAATCTTTCTTTCAGCATGATCAGGATTGATTGATGGGGATATAAATAGGAAGTGTGCTAGACCAGAGAATCAGGAACCAAACACTTTTTTGTTTGAACACCCCAGCACTTTATGTTGCTGGTTCCTTACAATGAGCTATGATTCCTGGTTTAAGCCAATAAATAGTATAATAAATATCATATGGACATTATTTTTATTTATTTAATTGGTTAGATAGAATAGAATAACAGAGTTGGGAGGGACCTTGGAGGTCTTCTAGCCCAACCCCCTGCCTATGCAGGAAACCCTACACCACTTCAGACAAATGATTATCCAATCTCTTCTTTAAAAACTCTCAGTGTTGGAGCATTTACAACTTCTGGAGTCAAGCTGTTCCATTGATTAATTGTTCTCACTGTCAGGAAATTTCTCCTTCGTTCTAAGTTAACAGATAACAGATAATCAGAGTTGGAAGGGACCTTGTAGGTCATCTAGTCCAACCCCCTGCCCAAGCGAGAGACCCTACACCATTTCTGACAAATGGCAGTCCAGTCTCTTCTTGAAAGCCTCCAGTGATGAAGCTCCCACAACTTCTGAGGGCAACTTCTGTTCCATTGCTTGATTGTTCTCACTGTCAGAAAGTTTCTCCTTGTTTCCAGGTTAAATCTCTCCTTGTTCAGTTTCCATCCATTATTCCTTGTCTGGCCTTCGAGTGCTTTAAAAAGTAGCTTGACCCCTTCCTCCTCCCTGTGGCAGCCCCTCAAATATTGGAAGACTGCTATCATGTCTCCCTTGGTCCTTCTCTTCACTAGACTAGCCATGACCAGTTCCTGTAAACGTTCTTCATATGTTTTAGTCCCCTAATCATCCTGGTTGCTCTTCTCTGCACTTTTTCTAAAGTTTCAACATCTTTTTTTATAGTGTGGTGACCAAAACTGGATGCAGTACTCTAGGTGTGGTCTTACTAAGGTTTTATAGAGTGGTATTACTACCTCTCTGGATCTCGATTGTATCCCTCTGTTAATGCAATTTAGGATTGCATTAGCTTTTTTGGCTGCTGCTGCACACTGCTGGCTCATGTTTAGCTGGTTGTCCACTAAGACTCCAAGATCCCTCTCACAGATACTGCTATTGAGCCTGGTTTCACCCAGTCTATATGGGTACTTTTGGTTTCTCTTGCTTAAGTGTAGGACTTTACTTTTCTCTACATTGAATTTCATTTTGTTAGATACAGCCCAGTGTTCTAATCTGTCAAGATCCATTTGGATCTTGAGCCTATCTTCTTGGGTGTTAGCTATTCCTGCCAGCTTAGTATCATCTGCAAATTTAGTAAATTCCCCTTCTATTACCTCATCTAAGTCGTTAATGAAGATATTGAAGAATACTGGGCCTAAGTTGGAACCTTGTAGCACCCCACTGCTACTTCCCTCCATGTAGACTTAGACCCATTAAGGACTACTCGTTGAGTATGGTTTGCCAGCCAGTTGCGAATCCATCTAGTGGTGGTGCTATCTATTCCACTTTTTTCTAGCATACCATGGAGCTTACCAAGCTTCTCTCCTTGATTAGTTTCCATCCATTGCTTCTTCCCCTGCCCTCAGGTGCTTTGGAGAATAGCTTGACCCCTTCCTCTCTGTGGCTGCCCCTCAAATATTGGAAGACTGCTATCATGTCTCCCCTGGTCCTTCTTTTCATTAAACTAGACATACCCAATTAAAGCAACTATTCTTCATATGTTTTAGCCTCTTGTCCCCTAATCATCTTTATCAGTTAGTTAGTTGATTTGTTATTAGTTGATTTTTATTCCACCTTTATTATTATAAATAAGGCAGCAAATATACCTAATGCTCTTCCCTCCTCTTATTTTCCCTATAATAACAATCCTGTGTGGTTGGTTGGGCTGAGAGAGGATTGGCCCAAATTCATCCAGCCAACTTAATTGTCTAAGAACGTGTCTTAAGGAATAAAGATATAAGATGCAATCATAGAGGTAAATTTGAAGACAGTGTGCCACACTGAACATCCAGTACTGTACAGGTAGTCCTTGACTTACGACCACGATTGAGCCCAAAATTGCTGTTGCTAAGCGAGTCTGTTAAGTTAACTTTATTCCATTTTGCAATCTTCTATTTAGAAATAAAAATGAGTTGGGGTTGAGGTATATTACTGCTGGCCCCTAGTAGCAGTAGCAGCATCATATATGGGTAGTGCTTGTCTTTTGACCACACCAGAATTTCCGTTGTTAAGCAAGGCAAGTGTTAAGCAAGTCCTACCTGATTCTACCACCTTGTTTGCCATGATTGTTAAGCAAATCACTGCAGTTGTTAAGTGAGTCACAGTCATTAAGTGAGCCCAGTTTCCCCCCCGCTCCCGTCTTGCCTTTCTGAAGCTAGTTAGGAATGTTGCAAATGGCAATGACATGATCCGGAAATGCTACAACTATCACCAATACACTCCAGTTGTCAAGCACCCAAATTTTGATCGCTTGACCTTGAGGTTCTGTGATGGTCATAAGCCCGACCATCAGTCATAAGGTTGTTTTGTTTTTTTTCAACACTGTTGTAACTTTGAACGATCATTAAACAAACGGTTGGAAGTCTTGGGCTGCCTGCATGAAATGCCAATGTACAATCAATGCTCTTGTTGGCCACGAGCAACTGACAGGAAATATTCAACAGTGGCTGATAGAGCTTGCTGTAGATCAGGGATGTCAAAGTGGATTTCTTCGAGGGCCAGATCAACACTGTAGTTCTCCTCCGTGGGCCGGCTGGGGGGAGGGAGGTGGGACGGATGCCTCCTGCAGCACTCTGATGGCAAAAATGGGGCACGGGGGCTGCATGCCCCCCCCCCGTGCTCTATTTTGGCTGGTAAAGTGGTGCAGAAGGCCATCCAGGCCAAAAACAGGGCATGGGGGGGGCACACACACACACACACACACACCATGCCCTGGTTTGGTCAGCCAGGTGCCGCAAGAGGCCGTCCAGGCCAAAAATGGGGATCGGGGGTCCCCATGCTCCCCCCCTGTGCCCACGCGCCGGTCTTTTGCTATTTCCACGCTGTCCCTGCGGGCCAGTTTTAAGCACCCCACGGGCCAGATGTGCACCCCACGGGCTCTGAGTTTGACTGTCCTGATGTAGATGAATCTCTGCTCCACAGAATCACTCAGGGGATGCTTTCATGCTCAGCAGCAGGACAACCCAGCCAGCAAAGCAATAATCTAAAGATGCTATTTCTATTTCGCAGCTCAGGGAGGATTCCCAGCATCCACAGATGTTGTTCACCGCCCGCCATGCCACGGTGACGTTCCAAACGGATGGAGACACTTGGCGGGAGCAGAAAGAGAGGAAAGCTGCCCTCATGGTGGGGATCCTCATTGGTGTCTTTGTCCTCTGCTGGATCCCCTTCTTCATCACGGAACTCATCAGCTCCCTCTGCTCCTGTGACATCCCGCCAGCCTGCAAAAGTGTTTTCCTTTGGCTCGGATATTCCAATTCTTTTTTCAACCCTTTGATCTATACAGCCTTTAACAAGAACTACAATAATGCCTTCAAGAACCTCTTCTCCAGGCAACCATAAACAGTGTCTGGGGAGAGGACCCATAGGTGATTTTTCCCCCTACAGGCAACTGGACTTTGTTTGTTTTTTAATAAATATTTCCCTTCTCATCCAAGAAGCTTCTTCACTTTTTAACTGATTAGTAGGAATGGAGGGATTTATATTCAATGGTGGGATTCAACCAGTGTAACAATGGGTTCAGTTTGAAAACTGCCCATATTCCGTTCTAAAACTTAACTTCTACCGCAGCCCTGGTGAGTAAAACAGCTGAGGCACGGGAATCTGCTGTGCCGTGGGAATCAGCTGGGCTTCAAAACACGGAAATAAAGGACAGACTAGGGCAAGTGCAAGCGGGCGAGGCCAACCGATCACCGGAACTACCGGTTCGCTCAAACCAGTCTGAACCGGCTGAATCCCACCTCGTTTATATTCTTCGCAATCATTCAGTCCTTATCTCACTTGGGGTCAGTCGTTAGCTCTCTGAGAGTTGAGCCCACTTGGGACTTTATCTGTATTCTCAGAGTCATCTGAATTAGAGTGTAAATGAGTGTGGAAATTTCGGCAGTTCCAAAAATGTTCCACATCCATTTACACTCTGATTCAGTTGACTCTGAGGATACAGATGAACCCTCAAGTGGCTTCAACAACTCTCAGAACGAGTGCTAATGACCAGATGACTTTCAAAGGTTATAAATCCTTCCATTCCCCACCAGTCAGTTAGAATTGAAGAAACTTCTTGGATGACAAGTGAAATGTTTTCAAACAAAAAAAAACTAAGAAAGTCCAGTTGCCTTTTGGAAAAAGCACTTTGGGACAATCATGACCTGGATGATTGAGAAGCTACATAGGCATCTCGGGAGAGAATATTCTCTCTAAAGATTTCATGCTCCCATGCATCCTCCAGAGTAGGAGGAAAAGCTCTTGAAATAAACATCATTCTTTTCCAGTTGATCCAGTTGCTCTTAATATCTCTGTTAGTTCTCCATTGCTGTAGGAGATTATTGAAGTCAGTAGCTGCTCGTTCAGACACAGTATTTTCCTGGCACTCATATAATGGTGATATGTCATTTGGATAGTCTGATTTTTCTTCTCAGCTCAGTTGCACTTGCTAATGTGACACTCTGTGACGTTCATATATCACTCTAGGATGTTCATGGCTACCAAGAGAGTCATATAACCTGTAACATCATCCATAATGTAACATTAGCCACATAGTGAGAGAACTCTGTTTTTCTTTGTATCGCTTTGGAGAATTCATATATCATAAATGTACTGCTCAATATATAAGAAAAGTATTTAAGTAACCACTCACAGAGGGATAGGAAAGAGAACGAGGTACCCACCTTTGCACGGTTTTTTTGGCCAGTTTAACACTCTTTTATTTCATTACATCAGTAGGGAATATATAATCCTTCATATATTGCTGAACTAAAATTCCTGGCAGACTTAGGCAGGATAGATATTGGGGAAAGAATTGGAGATTACAGTTCAGCCACATTTGAAGAGCCATGGATTCTCCATCCCTCCATTATTGTTTTCAGACACTCAAGACACCAAGAACCAAACATCTGGTTCTGTGTAGCCAGGTGGTAACTCACCCAGAAGCAGACTGGAACCCAATGCAGCTCCTATAGCAAAAGTGTCACATGCACAACCCTAGGGGTGTCCCAAACTGCTCACCCCGTCACATTCTTCACCAGCTGCACTTCCAAATCCTCTTCAAAGATAGGCCCATGAAGAATTAAATTAAGTATTTGGATACATTTAATCAAAAGTGTTGTTACTATTGAATTTCTACAAGCACAATGCCTCTCAAATAATATTTGTGTTTGGAAAAAGTCTATCTGCTAATGTGAAAAATACATGGGCTTGGGTGCTGGAAAGAAGAGGTTACACCAAACCTGAGCAATGTTATTCTAACAGAGATCCAAATCCAGAGCCGTCCCATATCTTCCGAGATTCTCCTTTATAGCTATTATCTCTTCGGCTAGTGAAACTATCTAGTTTCTACTTTTTCTTAGTAAAAGAGCTTCCCCAACCTAGTGCCCTTCAGCTGTATTGGGACGATTATTACAATTTTCAGTATAGCACCAGGGGTGGGGGGAGGAAGTTATGATTAAATTGTCTTATGTAATGCACGAAGACCCCTTAAGTTGTAATATGAATTAAGGTGAGAAGAAGCAATAGGAGAAGAGTGATAGATCATTACTTCTGTTTGAATGTCTTCAGAAATTGAGCAACAATAGGAAATAGCAAGCAATTCCAGCTATATTGTTGTGTAACATTTGTGGAAAATCAGATGTTTCGTAGGCACTAAAATCTGATTCTATTTCTTGCTGCTTTAATTTTTGTCTTTCATTTTCTAACAAAAAAAACAAAACACTGCAATATTGAATAAAGTGTGAAAGCTTTAACACAGAGATGTCTGTGAAATTTTAAAGGAACATGTATCAGGAATCCGGCAACACATCTGCTCAGTAGCAAAGAGCAAACATTGTCCATATCCAGACATTTCATACATCCCATAGCCAACCCCAATGAGTGTTTGTGCAAATAGAACTAGGAATGATACATATACACATACACCATTCTTCAGTCTTACTGGGTTTAAGGAATAAAGGCCCTGTTCAAGGTAAAAGACATTCATGGAGGCATTCAACCAAAATACTGCAGTCTAGACTATCAGGACCGTGGACAGCTCCCTAAAGAGACCTTCCATAGTGCTCTAAACTTCTAAAGGAAACTGCTTTAGCAATACAGGTAAGTCTACAACATATGACCACAATGTTTTGGTTTGTCTTGCCTTATTACTTTATAAGCAACTCAAGATGATACATGTATACATACACCTTTTTCTTCCTATTTGTTCCACAACGGCAACCGCATGAGATGGGAATCTAAGTATAGTATATAAAATCATACATTGCAATGTCCTACCTTCAATGAATACTTCAGCTTCAACCATAACCACACAAGAGCAAACAATAGGTACAAACTCAAGGTTAATCGCAACAAACTTGATTGCAGGAAATACGACTTCAGCAACAGAGTGGTCAATGTTTGGAATAGTCTACCTGACTGTGGTTTTTTCCCCCCAAACCCCAAAAACTTTAACCTTAGACTTTCTACTATTGACCTCACCCCTTTCCTAAGAGGTCTGTAGGGGGCGTGCATAAGCGCACCAAAGTGCCTACCGTCCCTATCCTATTGTTCCTTTTATTTTTAATTTTTCTTATATGTATCCATGTATTCATAACTATGTTTTTACTTATACCTATTATCTTGTAAGCAATTGACAAACCAAATAAAATAAAAAATAAATGGTGAAAAAGAAGCACCATGGGTAACATGATAGCAGTATTCCAATATTTGAGGGGCTGCCCCAAACGAGGGAATCAACCTATTTCCCAAAGCACCAGAGGGAAGGATAAGAAACAATGGATGGAAACTAATCAAGGAGAGAAGCAACCTAGAGCTAAGGAGAGACTTCCTAACAGTGAGAACAATTAAGCAGTGGAATGCTTGCCTTAAGAAGTTATGGGTGCTCCATCACTGGAGGCTTTTAAAAAGAGATTAGAGAACCACTTACCTTGTCCATGTGGTGTGCCAAAAGTGCGCTCATGTGCCTGCACCCATGATGCAATGCGCACGTGCCTCTCCTGCCCCTGCACATGCATGCGTGATCCCCTGCGCATGCACACGGCTCCCAAACACCGCATGCCTCTGCGCATGCGAGCATCTTTCCGCATGCATGCACGGCAGATACCCAACAATCAGCTGGCTGACGGGGGGGCATGTGTGCATGCTCAGTGGGGCTCTTCTGGGCAACCTCTTGTGTGCCGGCAGAAGTGGCTCTGTGTGCCACTTCCGGCACGTGTGCCATAAGTTTGCCATCATGGTATAGGGCAGGGGTGGGATTCTACCAGTTTGCACCTATTCGCTAGAACCGGTTGTTAACATTCTAAGCAGTTCGGAGAACCGGTTGTTAGAAGAAATTACTGGCCTAATCCTGTAAAGAAGGCAGGAAGGAAAGAGTCTGGTGTTGCTTACAGAAACTGCCTCTCCATTAACCCTTATTAAATTCTTGGCAGGACCAGAATTTCTGTCTCAGGAACATCTCTGGGTTTTTTTCCCCCTCCTTTGCTGGTACTTTGCTTGTGTGGAGTGACCATTTAAACTTACAATGGCACTGAAAAAAGTAACTTATGACTGTTTTTCACACTTACGACTGTTGCAGCATCCCCACAGTCATGAGAGGCCAGGCGAGGAGATGCGTGCCTCGATGTGAGTGATGTTGAGTTGGCCACGCCCAGCCAATAACATGACCACCAAGCCATGTTCACCCAGTCACATGACCACCAAGCCACGCCCACCAACTAAGCCACGGCCCCAGAACCGGTTGTTAAAAAGATTGAATCCCACCCCTGGTATAGGGTCTCCTGTTTAAGTAGAGGGTTGGACTAGAAGCCCCCCAAGGCTTTTCCAACTCTGTTATTCTATTATACGGAAGTGGGTGGGCCTAAGAGAGAGAGAGAGAGAGAGAGAGAGAGAGTGACTGGCTGAAATTAACACAGCTGGTTTTCATGTCTAATTAGAACTGAAAAATTAACAGTTAAGCAGTGCAGTCCTTGAGTGAGGCATCACACATATTGCACCAAATTTACATCCTTTTTGCTGCAGTCGTTAAATGAGACATCACAGTAACCTCCAATCTCCTACAGCTTCCCCATTGATTTTGCTTGTAGGAAGCCAGTTGAGAAGGTTGCAAGTGGCAATCAGGTAACCACGGGATATAACTCTCATATATATATATATATGTGATGGTTGCCAAGTATTCGAATTGTGATCAAGTGACGACAAGGACACTGTAATGGTCATAAGTGCAAGAACCACCATAAGTCACTTTTTTCAGTGCCATTGTAACTTCAAGAGGACTAGAGAGGTAGATGACTAGTTGGATCATTCCTCCCCTCCCCTCCCCAAATGGGGACTTTGGTCACCTTTTCCCAGATCAGATTCTT